AGTAGGAAAACGTAATGCTGGTGGGAATTGGGTCCAGGGAATTTAGTGGCAGAAGACTTTCGGGGAAAGTCAGGAAACGCGGAGCGGTGCCTCAGTTGGGCCTGGCGTTGGGGAGCCTTGTAGCCCGGTTCCGGCGGGGCCGCGTGTTGGAAGCGCCAGCGGGACGGCTGCCCCCTCCCCCGGGATTCCACAGGGCTCTGACCCGGCCTTTATCTCGGCGCGGTCAGCAGTCTTGGGGGCTTCAGGAAAGAAGACAAAGGCCCGGTGTCACTGCGGGCGGGGGCTCGGTTTCCTGACTCTGCTCACACGGCCTTTAGCGGTTGTTGGGGAGAGATTTTTAAAAATATGTGTCGAATTTCCTTTTTTCCCCCCTAGGAACAAACAAAAAAAGCAAAAAACATATTCCCCTTGCCTCCTCGTCCATGTCCATGGAGATTAAGTTTCCTGGGACGCTGCCCTTTCCTCGTCTTTGCCTGCCTAGAGGTCATTTTCCTTTGTACATAGAAGAAAATTCGGGGAAAGGTTTTGTTTTATTCGGGCTGATTAGTAGTATTACTAAGGACAGCCGGGTCAGGCTGAGCTCCCTCCTTGGAGACCCGGCGTTGGCCTCCCGGCGAGGCGGGGACTCCGGCGGCCACTGCCCGGTGCGCTCGGCACCTCTGGGGACGATCAGGGCCCTGCGCTTCCTCTGCTCGTCCCGCCGTCGAGAGCACCGGGGCTCGGACGGGCCCAGCCGTTCTCCCCGGGTTTGGTTTAGAGCTGCCCGGAGGCGCCAGCCCCGCGCCCGCCGATGTGCGCTGGCAGCGCCACCCGCGGGCCTGCGGCCCCGGCCGGGTGCGTGCGGCGGGCCCCGCGCCTCCCCGCTCCCCGCCCGCGGGCGGCGCCTCTGCCCGAGGCAGCTCGGCCCAACCCGCTTCCTGCGTTGGCCCATCAGGTTTCCCGTTTCTCCACAAAGACCCGAGGGGAGCCTCTCCCACGGGCTGACCTCCGCAACCTCCCTCCCGGGGGCTACCTACTGTTTTTCTGAAAAACTGTGTGTGTCGGGGGGAGAAGTTCAAACAGCCCCGCGTTCCAGAGGGAGGTGCCTGAGGGCGGGAGGCACCGGCCCTAGGCCCTGAGAGTGGCGGCTGTGCCTGGACCCCAGCGCCCGGGTCGGTGCCGCTCCGCAGGTCAGCCGGGCCTTGCTCCGAGGAAAGCTGGTAGATCGGTGACGATTGCCGTAGGGGAAGCGAGAGGGCGGCTGGAGGAGCCCCGGGCTCGGCACACTCTCTGTCCCCAGGGCTCGAGTATTCACTCGCTGCAGCGACAAGAGGATGCACCTCACCCTCAGGGTCTAGGGGCTGGGGCAGGGCGGACACACTCCCTGTGGGGTGACCTGGGAGGCGCTCAGTGGTCTGGGCTCTTGGTGGCCACTGGGTTAGGATGTCAGACCCTACAGGGTCAGTACCAAAGGCTTTTCCTTTTTTCCTTTCTTCCTTCCTTCCTTCTTTCCATAGGGGAGGGAAAACCATATTGAAAGATCTACTATAAACTGGCACTTTGACATTAGGACATTTGACTGTTTTAATAACCCTGTGAGATACATATGATTCTGTTTTATAGATGAGAAAACGGAAATTCAGAATGGGTGCTTTGCCCAAAGTCACACAGCTATCCCAGGAAGTCATTGGGCTTCACACTAGTTCTTTCCGGCGGAACAGGACCCTGTCCTTGCCCCATCCGGCACAGGCCAACTCCCTGGGGTGACATGGTCCTAGAATAAGTCAGAACTCATCACTGAGCTGGAGGCTGTGCAGCACACAGCCAGCACAGAAGTTCCCAGGGTGCAATATGCCTGCAACTCAGACCCAGCAGCGTGCTTCCTTCTTCTCAGCTGGCTCCCCTTTCACCCACTGAGCCCCTCCCCCCAACATCCGTGGCAGGGCTTGTGCCACTTGGAGAGCCCAAGTGGGCAGCTGGGCTCAGTGCTCTCAGGTATCTCCTTAACATTTCTGAGGCTGTTTGCCCTACAGATAGCTGGGTGACCTCTGGCTGGCCCCTTCTGTTTTCAGGACCCCAGGTTCCTTAAATATAAACCAGGAGATTTGGGGTTCCTGGGGTCCAGGCATTCTTGTGACAGAATGGAGCTCTCCCTCCAGAAAGCAGAAAACCAATAAAACTGCTTGGTTTCAAGAATCCTTAATTTCTGGTTGTCCTGAAGGAAGAACTTGGGGCATGAAGATCAGTCCCAACCGATCCCTGTGCCTGGTTCCCACCACACAGGAGAAGTGTGGGCTCCTGGTCCCACCCCTTCCTATGGGTCCCACAGGCTACTCCAAGAAGCAGGGGCTGCCCTGTGGAGGCAGCAGGACAGACAAGGCACAATCTCCAGCAGCTTAGCTCCATAGAGTGGGGGCACTGCAGGGCTCCTGAGCTGACCAAGCTGCTTCCTGGCCCTCCTTCCCCCTCCCTGAGGCCAGGAACCTGGCCCAGCAGTTCCAGTGCTCCAAGCCTTCACTAAGGGACGAGCTCATTCGTGGGCAGAATGTCTTGGGTCTGACCCAGTTTCCTGGCCCATCCTCTCCTGCCCCTCCTGCTCCAAGAAGCCCTCGTCTGCCCCTGATTTCCACCCACTGCCAGGGGGCTTCTGGCAGCCTGGGGCTCCTCACAGCCCAGAGCTCCAGTCTCTGCTAATGGGAGACCCAGGCAAAGGCTGGAGGGCATTTAACCTCAGGTGGAAGGTCCTGGGCTTCATGCCCACCCAACCAGGGATGCAGGGCAGTGAACTCTTTCCTTATGCAAGGGGGAGACTGGCCAAGGATACCTTCTGGAGTGGAGGGGCAGGCATCCCACAGAACCCCCTAGGTCCCTATCTGACAATCCCTTGGTGCATGTACTGCACTGGCAAAGATTTCTCTCAGGTCCGCCTGAGAACAGGGTACCGCCCCCCCCCCCCCCAACCCAAGTACTCTGACTGGGCAGTCTTGGGGGTGGGGGGGTGGGGTGACCAAGAATTCATGTGTAAATATGAGGAGGGGGGCTCATCTTGTCAGTAGTGAGTATGAGGATGTTTACATCCATACAAGCACACACATACTCCTCATTCAATACCATGTGTAGCAACTCATTATCCAGGACACGCAGAAATCGGCAGAGTATTTGCAGTAAATTCTATTTATGTTGTATTTACAGTATACCCTGGCAAACACATACACATACACCCACATGGTCCGGACATCTAGACCAAACTGTATGCTAAGGCATAATTGCTACGTATCTGGAACTCTCTTAAATACTTTTGTCCTTATTTAGGGAATTCCTTAAACCATCTGCTCTAACAGAAACTCAAAACTGTAAAGAGGGAGAGGATAGAAAGGAAATGAGAGAGGAAGATGGCCATTGCCCTAAACTTTTAGCACTGGGGGGGAAATGACCAAACTACAGAGTTTTGGAGAAAACTCCTAGGGCTGGAATTAGAGACAGATGTCTTTCTGTGGGCATCCATGGGGAAGTGCAGTATGATTTGGCTCCCTTCTCTCACCTCCTCCAGGCTCCATGTAGAGCAGGAATCCCTTACCGATTCCTTCATTTCACCCTCTGTACTTGGTGAGGCTGCCGCTCTCTCCCCCACCTTGGGTGCCTCTTGCCTTTCTGTTCTTGGAGGCAGAGAGGGGCTTTGTCCTCCAGTGCTGGCTTAGGCCAACTTCTCCATCTCACTGGAGGCTCTGCCTGGAGACTCCCCTCCTCGGCTTTCTCTGTTCGGGATAGAGGTTGGGAGTGCTGAGAGCCAGCCTCAGAACAGAGAGCCTCAACCAGCTGAAGCAAAGGATGTATTCTCTGTTATCATTCAGCAAGCCAGGGTTATACACCCAGAACACAGCTGCACACGTCACCAAAGACATACGAATGCAACACACACTGTGGTCCCAGGAAGCACTCCCTGAGTATTAGCCATATGATTTATTACAATGCCCAAAATATATGCCATCTCCAAAGGCGGATGACAGACATACACACCTCCCAGCCTGTCACCAGGACATGACTTACACTGCATGCACACATTTGCAGCAGGCATAGAATACACAACTGCCCATGGGATACATGTTCACACCACAGAAAGCACAAACAGACAAGCACGCGGCCATCCACTCTCTTTTCTGCAGCTCTCCTTAGTCAGCCAGACAAAGGGGCATCATGTCTCCAGAAGGGCCCAGCCACCAGGCCTGACCAGCCTCTTGGGCTTCCGGCTCCAGCTGAGCCTCTCTCTCTGGCCTGCTCTTCCAAGCTCCCCTGGTCTTGGCAGGCTCCAGTGCCGGTCTCAGGGTGTTGCTCCTCAGAATCCCCACGGCTTCATCCTCCACCTTCCAGTCTCCAGGGAGGGAGGAGGGGGCGTACTGTGCGGGAGCCACTTCCCCTTGGGCCCAACTACACATACCACGGATCCCACCCTGACGTTCCCTGTTGTGACCACCAGCAGACTGAAGTGGGAGGCCTGCGGGCTAGTTCCCTGCCGTGCGCAGCCTCCCCTGGCTCACTGGTGGGCCTGGAGCTGTTGCCACTGCTGTACAGGCCCAGAGTGAGGGTCGATAAGGGACACGTGGGGTCCAGCCCAAGCAGCGTGGCAGTCGCGGCTGGAGTCAGCTGATACCCGCCATCCCCTCGGAGGACTGAAGGCCGACCACCCCCAATCCGCCTCTGAGCCCCAGGCTGCAACCCGGCCCAAAGCTCGTGTGCCTGCACGGAAGCACAGGTCTTAATTCGTTATTCGAAAAGTCTCAGCAAAGGAAAAGAAAGAAAAAGATCACATTTCTACAGCCACACAGTATGCTCACCCCTGTCTGATGCCCGCAAATCTCTTACACATATCTCAAGGTAAATGAATTCTGACGAAAAACAATAAGGCAATCAGTCACTCGTTTCATTTGTACTGAGGTTTGCAGCTTATAGAGCATTTCCGCAAATAGGATTTTATCTATTTGGAATAAACTCTTACGGCTATTATATTTGACTGGAAAAATTTAAAAGTCTGAGAACAAAATAATGAAAACAGCCCACACACCCTCGTATGACCGCGTAAGAGGGAAAACACAAACTTGCATGAGTACAAAGACAGAACGAATCCCGACAGCCGCGCCTGGTGATCGAACCACGGCAGATAAAGTTTCTGATGATGTCGAACAGCTTCAACAGACCAGCGACGACACAGAAAACAAACAGTCCCCGGGGAAAACAAAACGGCGGCCACAACCACAAACGCCCCCCACTCCGGCTGCCCTCACCCCTTGTTTATCTGAAAAAGGATAAAATCCTGCTGAAAATCTCTCTTTTAACTAGCGGCTGAACAAACTTAGGCACGACTGAAATAATATAGGTCTCTGTTAAAAGAAAGAACAAAAAGTTTATTCGGGAATTGACAAGACAAAAACAACAACAAACAAGGAACAAAACAACAAAAGTGCTCTAGTTGTCTCTAGAAAATTTGGTCCTCCCAACGACAGACTACAGAACAACCAGGTCTCGGGGTTCGGGCCGGCCGGCTCCAGGTCCCACTCCCGCCGGCTCCGACCGCGGCCAGGTTTCACATTTCTCCTGCCCAAGGTGGGAGAAGCAAGACGTCTGAAAAACAAAAATCAGGGAGAGGACGAGCCGCCCCTGCAGCGTCCGCCTGGCAGGCGGTGATCTGCCGGCACTCCGGGTCTGCATCGGAAGATCCCGGGAAATTTGTCATTTTTTAATTTTTAGATAAGGAGAGAGGGGAAAAAAACCCCCAATTCGTAGATGAGACCATCTTTTACTGAATATATTTGTCTGCCTCTCTCTCTGACCATAGCTTTTTGAAGGCCCGACAGGAATTCTGCTTCCAATCTCCTGGAAGAGGCGATTTACGTGTTTTGCTTTAGTAAACTCCAAGGCCACAATACTTCGCCAGTTTTCCCGGTGAGTTTTTTTCCTTAAAATTTTTTTTAATGGTATCTAAAATAGCCCTACCAATCTTTTTAGCAAAACGTTAGCCAGCCGCCTGGGCCTGGAGGTGCCCGAAGAGGCGGGATGGAGAGCGGAGGAAACGCAGCCTCCCTCCGAGCCGGGACGTGGGCTAAACCCGGGCGCAGGCCGCCGAGCGAGGCGGCCCCGGCTCCCTGCTCGGGCCCAGCCCCCGCCCCGCCCCGTGGGCCCGGGCTAGCGGCTTCTGAACAGCTCCAAGAGGGTACGCGGAGCTGACACACGTTCGTTCCTTTCTCGGGCGGCGCGAGTCTCGTTGCCGGCCCAGGCCGGCGCTTCGGGCCGACGATTGCTCGGCCGCCGGGCGGGGAAAGCCGAGCGCGAGCGCACCGACCTGTGCGAGAAGGCCGAGAGGTCTGTGCCTCGGCCCCCGGCGCTTCCTTTCCGCCGTGGACCGCGCGGGGCCAAGTGCGGTGACGGGGCGCCGGCAGGAGACGAGGCCTGCCGAAGGCGCGTGGAGAGGCGGCCTGCAGGCAGGAGGAGCGAAAGGGGCGCAGAGGCGAGCACAGGAGGAGAAGCGGAGGAGACAAAGGAGCGAGAGGAGCTGAGGGCAGCGGAGAGGCGCAGAGCGGCCGTGGGCGCTGGCTCAGGAGGCGGCCCCAGCGGGTGCGCGGTCCGACTGGCGGCGGTGGCTGCGACCAAGACCGGCGTCGCGCGTCCCTACATCCTCCCATCTGGCGTACGCTGGGCTCTCAGAGATCGAGGCGCGAGTGCAGCGCGCCGGTCTTGCTGTCGTGGTCCCAGTAAGAGCAATGCATCATGGCGAGCTCAGGCTGCCGGGCGCAGGCGAACTGCAGGCCGGGCGCGTTGGTGGGCGCGGGCGCCGGGGGCGCGGCGGTAGCCGGGCTGGCAGGGCTGAGCTGGCCCGGGGGCGGTGCGGCTGCCCCGTGGTGCGGCGGGGCTGGCGGGGGTGCGGCGGCCGCGTGCAGATGGTGTGCGTGCGGGTGTGAGTGGGGGTGCGGCGGCGGCGGCGGGGGCGCGGCCGGCGGGCCCCCCAGGCCGTTGTACGAGTTCACCACGCCGGGAGGCAGCGCCATGCTTTGCACGCGTGAGTACGGCCCATACGAGGCGGCTGGGCCCGCCAGCCCCTTGACCACCGCGGCCGCGCCCGGGCTGCCGGGGCCCGCGGCCGCCGCCGCCGCTGCCGCCGCCGCCGCGGCCGCCGCCATCTGGCAGGAGGCGTAGGGCATGGGCGAGGGCGGCTGCGGTAGCGGCCACGAGTTGTTGAGGAAGCCGGACTGCAGGTACTTGGGGGGCGCCAGGTAGCCGTAGCCGTCGGCCCCCGCGCCCGCCACACCGCAGCCGCCCGCGGCGCCTCCCGCCCCGAAGAGCCCCTTGCCGGGCTGGAAGTGCGCTGGCGGCGGCCGGAAGGGCCGCTTCATACGGCGGCGGCGCCGGTAGTTGCCCTTCTCGAACATGTCCTCGCAGGCCGGGTCCAGCGTCCAGTAGTTGCCCTTGCGCTCGCCGCCGCCCTCCCGCGGCACCTTGATGAAGCACTCGTTGAGGCTGAGGTTGTGGCGGATGCTATTCTGCCAGCCCTTCTTGTTCTTCTCGTAGAACGGGAACTTGGCGATAATGTACTGGTAGATGCCGGACAGCGTGAGCCTCTTCTCGGCGCTCTCGCGGATCGCCATGGCGATGAGCGCCACGTACGAGTACGGGGGCTTCTGCGCCGGGTCCGGCTTCTCCGGGGCTGTCCCGGCGCCGCCGCCGCCTCCCTTGCCCGGGCTCGGCGGCGGCGGCGCCTCGGGCTCCTTGGCTGCGCGGCCGGTCTCCGGGGCCAGCAGGGCCCCCGCGGCGTCCTCGGGCTCGGGGTAGCTGGCCATCATGACAAAGCCGGCGCGCTGCGGCCAGGCAGCCCTGCTCTTGCCCCCGGCGCACAAGTCCGCCCTCGGCCGAGTCTGCAACTTCTGCAGAGTGCGGATGCGGCCCGCGCTCGCTCGCTGGCGGCCGCTCGCTCTTCTCCCCTCTTCTTTCCCTTCCCCTAGGGAGCGGCCGGCGGGAGTGGAGCTCAGCCTCTGGCCATGGGGAGTCCGCCCAACAGAGAGGGGCTCCGGCCCCACCGCCCCTCCCCGCCCAGGCCAGTCCCCGCCTCGGTGGGTTTTCTTCTCCGCGCTCTTCCCCTCCCCCCACCCTCCGGTTTCCCGAGGCAAGACCCGCGTCTCTGGCCGGGCTGCCTCCTGGAGTCCCTAGTGCGCCAGGAGCCTCGCTCTGTTCTGATTCGTATCGGCTCCGCCAAGTTCCGCTTGCGTCAGGCGCCTTCGCCCCTATAGCGGGGCGGCCAGTCGCGCACGGGCGAGTTCATCTCCAAGTCACTTTTTTGTAAACGCCCCGCACAGCCCGGACCGGCCGGCCCCCTCCCAGCGAGCTTCGGGGGCCCGGCGGACGGCCCGGCTCACGCTCTCACAAACCCGTGCAGTCTGCCGGTGCTCGCTCCGCGGACCGGGCCAGGAGATGCCGAGGGCGCCGGCGGGCCCGTCCACGCTCGGCCCGTGCCCAGGGAGCTCGGGCCCGAGCGAAGAGAGCCGCGCCAAGCCTCCTCGCAGCTTCAGGTGAAAGAAAACGGCGCCTTTGCTCGGCCCTTTGCTGCTGTCTGGGGGCGAAACTTCTAGCTCGGGGGCTGGGGGAGGGGCGGACGGCGAGGGGGCCGGACGGGGGTGGGCTGGGGTGGAGAGAGCTGCGCGGTGGCTTTGGGAAAATCAGCCCAGAAACGCGTGTCACCGAATGAAGAAACCTTGGCCTGGCCCGTCCCTCGCGCTCTCACAGTGACTGGGCCAGGATGCAGCTGGGGAGAAGAACGCTCGGAAGAGGCGCCCTGGGGCGCCGCCTGAAGCCCCTCCGTCCTTCCTCGCGCTGCCCGGGACCTAGGGACAGGACCCCTCCTCAGAATCCGCGTCGCAATCCCACGGGCTGGATATGTGCTTTACCAACACTAAGTAGACCCCGCTCTGCTCTTGCTCCGACATGGACGCCACTGTTGCCGCGGGTTCTGTGGGGCTGTGTGTGTATGTGAACCGGTATCACACATAGAAGTCATGGGGAGGGTTTGTCCTTGAGACATCTGAGATACCGGATACCCAGGTCCACGTGAGCTGGTGCACAAACAGGTACGCACCTGTGTTAGGTGTGCTATTTATTTTTATGGGGTAAAACACATTTATACTTATATGTGATGATACCTGTGTATCATGTATCAGAGTAAATGTGGTTCACGGATATCGCATCTTCCTTTTTCCTCTCTCTCATTCTCTCCCTCTCTCTCCTTTTTTCCTTCTTTTCTTCTCTTTCCTCTTTCCTCTCATTTTCAATTTTTCCTGCCTCCCTCACTGCCAGAGTATATATGTATTCTATCACAGACTAGGAGGAAAAACAACAGGCTGTGAGGGAGGCACTTGTTCAAATTTCTGTCCTGATGAGACCTTTGTTCTGATCTTTCTCCAGGGGTGCATTCTCACCTCCCTTCAGCAGAAGTCTGTTTGGGACTTAGTTACACCTGCATGCACGGAGATTGTCTCAGGGGAAATAGGCGCTGGCAGAAAGTCAGGTGTGCCTTTTAATAGTTAACTTAGTCTTAACAAAAGTCTGTGATCATAGTGTGAGGGAGATGGCTGGCGTTTTGAATCCTCGTGCCCCAAACTCCCTGGTGCTGAGGGGGCTGGGATGCTTTGTGGAGCAAGGTGGACTGACTGGATGGCATGCAGGTGTGTGTTAGTGACTGGCGTGTCTGGAGCTGCTGGCCCAATGCCTGTCACTACCTCTTCCTCCCAGGCTGCTCGCTCAGTCTCTGAGGAAGCCTCGAGAGCCCTAGGTGGCCTGTGGCCCCAGCATCCACCAGCCACCTGGCCTCTGATCTACATTCTGAGATTAAAGGACAGGAGGACAGGGTGATGGGGCTCTTTGGAATTCAGCATCTTGAAGATGACTCCAGAGAGGTCAAGAGGGCAGCCTGGTCTGACCACCGCAGTAAGGGAGCAGGGCTCTCCTAAACTCACCTCAGTAAATACCCTCCTCCACCCACCACTGAAAATAGTGATACACCGCATAAAGACGTTTTGGTCAAGCGTAGACCGCATATATCACGGTGGTCCCTTAAGATTAGTACCATATAGCCTAGGTGTGTAGTAGGCTATGCTATCTAGGTTTGCACAGGTACACGCTAGGATGTTCGCACAACGACGGAATTGACCGACGCCTGATTTCTCAGAACGACGCCCCAGTCGTTAAGCGACGCCCGACCTGTATCTCAGATTAGCTTGGTTGCTTTTTCCCACTGCCCCCAACAGACACGGGGGCAAGCAGCACTTCTTTAAAACCTCTGTTGCTGCTTCCCGAGCAGGAGGGCAGATGTTTTTCTTCTTCCTCACCCTCGTCCGTGCCCGGGCTATGGGTAGGAGTTGGGGGAGTCAGGTTTGGGGCTGCTGCAGATGGATCCCAGTGCCCATCCTCCCCCAGGGCCTGGGCAGGGGGAAAAACAGCTGGGTTGGGCCCCACCCTAACGGGGGGATGCTCTCTCCTCTCCTCTGTTTTCTGACCACCCAGGCTGGCTCTCTCTCTGTCTCTCTCCCCCTCCCCCTTAGAGGCATTTCCGCTGCGGGCCTGCAGCAGCCAGGTGTAACAGCATTGTTGTGTGTGTCATCACTTCCCCGAATTCCACACTCGGCTCCCTTTTCAGCCTTTAAGGAGTTTGTGTGTGTGTGTGTGTGTGTGTGTGTGTGTGTGTAGGGGGTGGGGGTAAAGGAAGGAGTTTCTCTAAAGGATTCTCTGTGGAAAGAAGCGGAGTCCTGCTCTCCCAGGTATTGATTTCTGACTGTCTTTCCGAGGAACGAAGACCCCAGCCCACATGGAAGAGGGAGTGCCCGGCCGGCGTGTGCTCACCAGGAGGGGCTGGGATCCGTTTTTTCCCCAAGATGCGCGTTCACGCAGCCGCCCCGCATTCGAAGGCTCGGGAAACAGGCAAGGAGATGCAGACCGGGAGGTGCGCACGGTGACCCAGGCCCTCCAGGCCTCCGTCTGCGGAGCAGCGAGAGGCTCGGGCGGGCGGCGGAGGAGCGAGGGCGACGGCGAGGCCCTGGCGGCTGGGCCAGCGCGGGCGGCGAGGCGGCTCTGCAGGAAGCGGCGGGTGCGCCTCGGTTTACTCCTCGGCCTCTGAGGCCGGCGGGGGCCGCTTCCTGCGCGGTCGGGGGCCGTGTGGGGCCCGAAGCCGTCCCCTTCTCCGCGGCACTGCGGCGACGGGGCCCGGCTCAGTGACCTTGGGGCGGTGTCCACCCCCGAGGGCCGGGCCCAGCTCGTCGCCTCTCCGGCCCGCAGCCGCCTCCCCGAGCCGCCCGCGCTCCCGCCGGTCCTCCCGCCGCCTGCGGACTCCGTGCCCGGGACCCGCCGACCGAGCGCGCCCTCCGCCCCGCGCCCCCGAGGCCCCGACGGCCGGCGCGAGCTGCTCACGGGGCCCGATGGAGGGAGACGCGTCCCCGAGTCCCCGGCCGGGACCCTGCGGCAGCCGCGCGGCGGCCCCAGGCAGGCAGCGCTGCTCCCGCCCCTCGGTTGTGCCGCGCCGCCGCCGAGGCCTGAGCGGGCCCCGCAGCCCCAGTCCTGGGGCCCCGAGACGCCCCGGAGCCCGCTCCCGAGCGAGCGCGGCGGCCCCATCTCCGCACGGCCTGCGGCGCGCGGCAGGGAAAAGGAAGCCCGAGCGCTTACCCGTCGGGCCCCACGCAAGGGCACACTCCCGCCAGGCGGCACCCCCCCGCCTGCCCCACAGGGACTCGCGGCCCTCTCCTCAGGTCCTCCCTCCATCCCGCTCTCTCTCCCTCTCCCTCAGTCACCCGTATCCCCGCCGTTCCCCTTCCCGCACGCACGCCTGTCTCACACCCGCCTGTTACACGTGCTGGTTCAGATCCTGTCCATCTGATGCCCACTCACGCTCCTCACACACTCGCACATCCACCTCTCTCGGGACACAGAAGGACCTCGTGGCTCCATGTCTGCAAGTCTGACTCCCAGAAGCCGGTTGATTCTCTGATGTCCTTGGCCTGTGGTAAGGGTGACAGGGCTGCCACCTGGATGTTCCCATCAGGAGAGGTTGCTGCTCAGAGTTCTTTTGACAAGCTCGGGTACCGAAGATAGTCCTGATCCACTTGAGTGCACGCGGGCCACTAACACAGGCTTCATCTCTGCTGAGCTCGCTGCCCACACCGACAGGCTGCACCCAGAGGGTTGCACAGTTCTTGTGCACACACCCACACAGCACCAGACCCCAGGCCAGCGGGCATTGTTCTGCCTGGATGAGATTAGCAGAGTCACTTACCCAAATATGTCTAGGGAGAGAGAGGGAGTAGAGAAATGGAGAGAGAAAAGAAAGAGAGAGGAGAAGCCACTACCCATTCTGGGGAAGACTCACAGAGGAGAGCTGTTTCTAGTTGGTAAATATCTTATTGAATGTGACTCGTCGTGTCCTGTCCTGCTCCCCACCCCCTGCTGTGGGTGACTGGGCTGGGAGGCAGCAGGCGAGAGTTCTGGGCTCTCCTGGCCTCACTGACGTTGGCCCTCAAGTCTACCAGAACCTCTTTGCCCCAAGGAGTGTGTACCCTAGTGTACCCTTCCCTCTACCAGGTCGACTGCAGGGTGGTTCTAGGCCTTTCTCCTGGTTGAGCTAACTCAGGGAGAAGAGACAGAGGGGGCTGGTTCCTGGGCCCTGCAGGGATCTGCCTCCTCCAAAGACCTCTGGGATGCTCCCAGAGACAGAATTCTGCTGACCAGCTTCCTCTGATATCCCATGGCTGTGCCTCCCATGGCCCAAAGCCACTTTGTTCAGCCCTGAACAGTGAGTACCCTGCCACCAGGCCCAGCACTTGCTTGGCAGGGCGATGTGTTGTTTAAAGCTGCCTCTTGTCTTTCTCCGCACCCAGACTGTAGGCCGTGATGGGCAGAGACTCTGTCCTCTGCTTCTCACTCAGCGCTTCCCGCCAGGATGGGCTGGATGCATTCTAGTGGAACTGGAAAATGGCTCTGCTCCACAGAGAGAATTGAGAAATGCCACTTACCTTGTAATGAAGCTGTTTTCCCAAGAAAGGGACTGCAGGTGGGGAAGAGTGGCTGGACCACCAGGGGCCAGCTCTGGATTCCCGAGTCCTCTGTCATTTGGAGCTATCTGCTCATTGCGGCTATGCCATGCTGCCGAGCCTTGGGCAAGGACACAGGACACCTCCCTGGTTCCCTGACCATGGTGAGGACCTGCCTGAAAGATTCAAACTAAACTTGACTAGGAATAGAGAGGCCTCTGCATCTGCGCCGGCTGGGTTGCAAGGTGAGGCCTGCTGTCTGGAGCCCCAAGCAGTACCATGAGGGGACCTTCATCTTGGTCCTCGTTCCCAGCTCAAGTTTCTCTTTAGACAAATGGGCACTGTGTGAAGAGCCT